CAATTTTTTAATTTTTAAGTAAAATACTTAAAGGTAAAACTTTGCCTCCTTTTATAGTCTATTTGAATCAATTGCGTCCGATAAATTCTACCATCAAAATGAGTAGATCCAAAAAATTAGGTGTTCCACTCCAAATTTTTTTAAAAAAGTTTGATTTTAATAGCATGATGTGACATATTATGAGCTCTTACATTAATTTTGATGGTTAAAAAAGTTTGATTTTAATAGCATGATGTGACATATTATGAGCTCTTAGATTAATTTTGATGGAGCATATTGGATGCTGAGGGACGGGGCCGCTAAGAGGATCCGCACCCTATTCCTCCACGTGCTTCGTCGCTTCTGTGCTTCTAATATCTGTGCCTAGTACCTGCCACCCATGACTTTTCTTTCTTAAGAAGATCTTTTGTATCTCTCGGTTACATATTGATGCTGTATTGTAATTGATAATCATTTTATACCAACTCCACTTTTTAATATAAAAAATAAATAAATAATTTTAAAAATTAAAAAAATTAGTTAAGTTGATTATTTATAATATATATGTGTTATTTTTCTTAAATTAACATATTTGATTAGTGCATTGACATTACCTATTAACAATGGGAATATTATAGAGAAAAATTATTAATTTGAAAATCAGAGTAAATTGAAGTCTTATATTAAATCTAATTCTTCAACTACTTATTATACTCCTATGATCCTTAAAATATGATCTAATTATTGAGTTAATCTTGGTCCTAAATGTAAGAGTTATTTCTCATATTTATCAATTTTTTAAAATTATTTCTATTAATATTCCTTCAACCATAATTAAATAGGAGAGTGATGGAGATATTAAGAAAGATGATTATGGTATTTTAAAAAAATATGTTATATTTTTATAACTAACTAACTTACTTAATTTTTTTAATTTAATTACATTAATTAAATAGGTTGTATATATGTATTTAAAATAAGAAGATAAACTTCATGCGGCTTTCCCTTAGCCCAGGTGGAAAAGTTGGAAAAGTTTAGACGAAAGGTTCATGCTCTTTTCTTTTTTTTTGGCCAAAAGAAAAGGTCATTCTCGACAACAACCTGATGTCGTAGAATTATTGATGTCCTCGTGGTCCCCCCGGATAACCCCTCCCGCGGCCCTCATAGGATTCTTCACGTGCTGAGTCCAGTCAATTATTTATGAGAAAATTACAATAAGATCTAAAATAATATAAAATTATCAAAAAAGTTGAATCATAAGTTAAAAATTGTCTTTTCATATTCTAAGACTTTTTAGCAGGGGAGAATTATAATTAAGTTAAAAAAAATAATTACTAAAAGTTTTCAATAATAATTTGAATGACTTATGGCAAGTTTTAAATTAAAAATGACAACTTCTAAAATTTGTTTTGTAATTTTTTTTAAAACTTCACGGTAATTCTCTCTTTTAACAATTATGTTCGTTACTTCTCTCGTTATTTATCTCTTTCAAACATGCACACGCAACACTTTTAGTTAATGTTGTTTTGCTTAGACCAAGCTTTTACGAAATTATAGGGCTAATATTAATAAAGACGACAAAACCACAATTTGAAATTACAAAGGTAAAAATCAAAATTAATTGAAAATGTAAGGATCAATAATGATATATTATCCTACATTTAAAAATGTCAGAATGCATTTTATTTTTAAAAGGTTAAAGGCACCTAACACTCTGATTTTGTTTTTTTAGGTGCTAATTTTTTTATAAATTAGGGTAAAAAAATTTAATTTGATGCATCAACATCTTCATCCTCGGCATTTACTGCAATTTTGCTCATGATCTATTAAATTTGATGCAATCTGACATACTTTTTTGGTTTTATGATGTGATTGGAATTTGTTTACTTTGCATGAAAATTGTTAATAATTTAATATAAAAGGAAGCAAAATGGTTAATTTTAATTGTTAAGATAAATAAAAAGGGGGATGTTAAATAAATTAAAAAAGGCAAAATTGAATCAAATTTTAAAAAAATATGGATAAAATCGTAACATCATTTTATTTTATTTTATTTAAAATGCTTTCTTTCTTTATGCCTTGAAAAAAGTGCTTTCTTTCTTGGACCCCATGGCATGCTAAAAATTTTAAGGTAGTGTTTGGATAAAAACCAAACCATGGTTTCAGAAGTGCTTTTACGAATTACGAAGTAAATATGTGGAGGAGGTTATCTCGTTTTGCGGAAAAGTGCTTCTGAAACCATGGTTTTGGAGCATCCAAACAGAGCCTAAAATACCTGAGAAAAGGGCTGTTTGGAATGAAAACCAAACTATAGTTTTAAAAGTGATTTTACGGTATATGTGGAGGAATTTGTCTTGATTTGCGGAAAAGTGCTTTTAAAAAGCACTTATGGGGGAATCCAAACACCCCTAAAATGAAAAATAGGTGAGCTGTAGTACTAATGCTATAAAATACAGGGAAAATTACGTATAGATCCCACAGAAGAGATTTTATTCATCTAAGGTCTCACGAAATGTTAAAATTACTAACAGGTCCCAAAAGACCTTACAATAATATATTCTATTTGTAAAATGACATTACTGCCCCTCACATTCCAAATTCACATATTCTTTGTCATTGTGATTTACAACCTCAGCAGCGACTATTAACAACCCAATGAGAAGGTGTTAACAACCTAAGTTGTATCCGTTAACAACTTACTTTATAGAATCACATAACCTCCACATAAGAGTAAATTATAACCAAATAGTATAATATAACAACTTTAACACTAAAATGGGAAGCTTTTTTGAAATCATTAAGAATTTTAACTAAACCCAATAGGATTATAGCAAAATTTTAATGCGGAGATCCATTGACAACCTCAACGGTGAGTATTAATAACCTAAGGAGAACTGTTAACAACCTTAGCAGTGTTTGTTAACAACTGACTTTATAGGATAATATAACCTCTAACTATAACTAACTAAATTGTAACTAAATAGTGTTAAAGTTAATCTTATATAGTTGTTAGAGGTTATATTATCCTATAAAGTCAGTTGTTAACAAACACTGCCTAGATTGTCAACAGCTCTCCTTGAGTTATTAATACTTACCATTGAAGTTGTCAATGGATCTCGGCATTAAAATTTTACTATAATCCTAGTAGATTTAGTTAAAGTTCTTAATGGCTTCGAAAAGCTTCCCATTTTAGTGATAAAGTTGTTATATTATACTATTTAGTTATAATTTACTCTTATGTAGAGATTATGTGATCCTATAAAATAAGTTGTTAACGGATACTGTTTAGGTTGTTAACACCTTCTCATTGGGTTGTTAATAGTCGCTGCTGAGGTTGTAGCTCGCAATGACAGAGCAAATGTTAATTTGGGATGTGAGGGGCAGTAATATCATTTTACAAATAGAATATATTACTCTAGGGTCCTTTGGAACCTGTTAGTAATTTTGATATTTCGTGGGACCTTAGATGAATAAAATCTCTTCTGTAGGACTTGTGTGTGATTTTCTCTAAAAAATAAATCCCAAGTTAAAAATAGGAGAAATTACAAATAAAGACTAGAGCTGGGAATCAGGACCGGCCCTTTAGGGTTGGCAGGCTTAAAAGGGCCGGCCCTCCAAGGATGAAATTTTAAAAATATCCCAATTTGTTAAGCCCGGCCTTTAAGTTACAGGGCCAGGGCCGGCCTGCGGGCTTTTGGCCCGTTTAAGAAAAAATACTATTTTTTATATTTATCCTATTTTTTTTATAAAAATATAAAAATAAACCAATGAAATTATTAATAAAAGACATAAATATGAATAAAATTAAGTCACAAATATAAAATATCATCATATATAAATATTCATCAACATCTAAGAACATCTAAAACATTCATTAACAAGATAACAATATCTAAAAGTTTTATCTATAATGCAATTGTGCAATAAATAAATACTATTATTAATCTTTTGAAACTTCATCATCTATAATTAATTACTTTTTTTCATAAGTATGCTTTTATTTCGTAACAAAAATATCAAGTTTTTCTGCTTTATAAGAATTTTATTTTTAAATTTTGCAATCTAAATATTATTTTACTTTAATGTGAGAAACATTGTTGTTGAAACTCATGAATTTCTAATTCAAATTATAGAATCACAAGTTATATAAGTATAAAAATATTCTATTATCAAATATATATATATAGTTTAAAAATATCAACGCATATAATATAAATCAAATCATTATTAAAGTCCAAATTAACCCATTTTTTAAAAATTTAATTGGATAAATTATTGTCTAAAACTAATTTAATTTTAAAATGATAATAATAACTAAATATTTAAAATATTATTAACAATGTAAAAAATTAATAACATTAAAATTATATAACAAAATTTTAAAAAAAAATCATAAAAGGGCTTAAAAGGGCCGGCCCGCAGCCCTCCAGGACCGGCCCTTTTAAGCCCTCGGCCCTCCAGGGCTTATTTCCCATTTTAAAAGAAAAATATTAAACCCGGCCCTTATAATTTCAAGGCCTAAACGGGCCGTTCCAGGCTCTAATAAAGACTCCTAAATATGTAAAATTATGATTTTGGACTCTTAATTTGAAAAATAGCAGATAAGGACCCGATCCTACTTTTGCAAATATGAAATGTTGGTGAAATGTCTGAAATGCCTCTCAGTCTAATTGTGATTTGGTTTATTGAAGTTGTCATTCGCTAAAGTGAACTTGTCATTTCTCATAGTTAACTCGTCATTTGGTATACTCTCAACCAAGTTGTGATTTGATCTACTGAAGTTGTCATTCGCTAAAGGGAACTTGTCATTTCTCATAGTCAACTTGTCATTTAGCTAAGGGGCATTTCAGATATTTTACCATAATTTCATATTTGTAAAAATGAGACCGAGTCTTTATCTGCTATTTTCCAAATTAAGAGTCTCAAATCACAATTTTACATATTTGACGGTCTTTATTTGCAATTTTTTCTTAAAAATATTATCTCTTCATTTTAAAAACAATTTTCGCTTCATTTTATAGGGCGCAGAAATTATTAATATGAATAGCTCGCTACACATTAGACGGAAGGAAATCCCAAGTTACAGAGTTGAAGGGTCGATTAATTTGCCACCTTTACCAACTTGTCGACCCGTCGTCCTATGGCTCTGGCTAAGCCGGACACTAGTGCTCCTGGTCCCTCTGTTTTCTTGAGTTTCTGTGGGAAAGAAGTTAGAAATAATTTTGTTGATCCCTTATACTCTGCGTTGCGTAGAGAAGATATTGCAACTTTCAGGGATGAGGATGATGAAGATCTTGCGATGGGAAAACTTACTTCGGATCAAAGCTACAAAGCTACTGCGCAATCCCAGATTGCCATTGTTGTGCTCTCTGAAGGTTATTTTTCTTCCGAGCGGTGTTTGCAGATATTAGTGACCCTCATAGATTCAAGAGACGAACAGGGTCAAGTAATAGTTCCGGTTTTTTATGACGTATATGCATCAGACGTACGATGTCAGAGAGGAAGCATAGAGGCAGCTTTTGAGAAACATCAATTTAGATTTTCAATTGATACAGTTCGAAGATGGAGAGAAGCCTCAACTACGATTGCTAATTTGTTTGGTTGGCATACAGCATATACGTAAGTTTTCATTTCTTAGATCTTATTTTGCTTTTCTATCCCAACAATTTTGACACTTATAATTATGGAATTTTGTATGCGTGTGATTTTCTATTCAAACTTCCGAATACTGACGATTGTTATAACTTAACTGATAATGAAGATGTCACGAACTGCTCTGACTACAATAAAACACGTATGAAATGGAAGAGGGAGGAGTTGGACCTTCAAAAGGAAAGGAAAAGAATTTTTCACAAAAATATCTAAGGAAAGGAAAAGAATTTTTCACAAAAATATCTGACAAGAAATACATTAATCATCATGACTACTGCCCACTTGAAACTGCTGTAGGTCTGGAGTGTGTGAAAATGACACTCATTCAAAGAGATGCTTTGGAACCCAAACCCTCATGCCTTGGATGCAAAACGCAAAGAATTTGTAAAATTCGCAGTTTTTCTAATCAACTAATAAGCAAAATAGCATTTTTCATTTGCAACTAATCATCAACATCACATTATTGTACCATGTGCCGCTCTGATCATATATGTAAGTTACTTGTAACTTATTTTTGCATACCAAAAAATGTATTAAATTGATACTGTTCCACGTTTGATTTCATTTAAAAAACATATCAAACAAAACATGCTATATGTTTTCTCCCACATATTTTTTTATTGTATTTAATAGGAGTAAAATTCTAAAATGGTTATTAATTACAGTAAAAATGACTTATGTTTAGGGTCTCAATTTTTTTTTTCCCTACAAGTGACTTATATATCAAAATAGAGTAGTATACAAATGGTCGTCCTACCCCACAAGCCCCCTCTATATACCATTAGTATCTTGATCACAATCATGACTAGCAGTAGATTGAGCCTTAATCTATGCTAATTGAGCTTTTGATTGATTTTCTCAGACTTCCACTTATGCTTTCAGTAATTCTGTTAATCTCCTCTAATATCTGGGCTTTGACTTGGTGATTTAATTGTAGATATAATTCATGTTTAGAAAAAAATATTGAAATTAGCAGAACCAACAAAACAAGAATAAGGTTATGACATACTCATTTTAGAAATTTATTTCTTTCAGTTACTATTCGAAGCAGTTTTGAGTGATCATTGTGGTGTTCGATCGGTCGATTTGCTTGATCTTACGACAATTGAGTTGGGACAAATGTCACCTGAAATAATATTCCCTCTGGTTCAAAATTTAAATTTTAGATAATTAAATTATGCAACTAAAAATGTTGGTTAAATTGGTTAAAAGTAATAAATATGTAAAAAAAATGCAACTTGTTTTCCTAAAATATTGGAGAGAGTGGGTCGGAGAGGGACTGAGGGAATGAAGGAAAAAGAGATGAGAAAGACATATAATTAATCAGAAGTAAAAAAAAAAAAAATGCATTAAATGAGTAGACAAATCTAACCTAAAGCTTATAAATGAAACCAAACTGCTTTAAAAATTTAAAGCTTACATTTTAAACGGGAGGGAGAATCATAGTTTTCTTATGCTTTAGAGCATTCTTTTGTGATTTCATCTTGTCTAATAAATAAATTTGTCTCTCGGTTGATTGCACGTGTACTGTTTTATATATCCAGTTGGAGTTAGAAATGTCAACTTCATATATAGGATAAAGTTGCGACTGAAAAGTTTTGTTGTTCTCCCCCAATAATTTCCATAGAAATTAACAGAATATTAATTCTTTGATCAACGCAGGGATGAAGCAGAGATGATTGAATACATTGTCAGCTATGTAAGGAAGGAAATAGAGCGTAGATTTCGAGCATTTAATCTTGGTCATTCAGTTGGAGACATTTCTAATCGTTTAGTTGGAGACGTTCAATCAAAGGTAGATAAAATTATATCCCTTTCAAAAATAGGCTCGGATGAGGTATGCGTTGTAGGGATATGTGGCACGGGTGGCCTGGGCAAGACAACTCTTGCTCGAGTTCTTTACAAGGCAGTCTATCGCAAATTTGACGCTAGCTGTTTTCTGAGCAACATGAGGGAGGTTTCTAAAAGGCACGACTTAGCTTCCATACAAAAGATGCTTCTTCTTAATCTTGGACTGATTGCACAAGATATAGATGATCCTTGTGAGGGATCAGGGATAATACGACGTCTTTTATGCAATAAAAAGGTTCTTATTATCCTCGATGGTGTAAATGACAAAAGCCAACTAGAAAATTTAGCTGGGAGTTTAGTATGGTTTGGGCGCGGGAGCAAAATAATAATAACTACTAGAGATGAAGGCTTGTTGACAATAGTGGATGGACGGTGTGAAATATATAAAGTTGGAACATTAGATCCAGATGAATCCTTTGAGCTCTTCTGTCAGAGAGCATTTGAAAAGAATGAGCCTGAACAAGGTTATTGGGACTTATCAAAAGAAATAATTCAATGCGTCGGTGGAGTTCCTTTGGCACTTGAATTCTTCAGCTCCTTTGTTTCCAACGGATCCCAATCTGAATTGAGAAACGTATTACATCAATACAGGAAACTTTTACCTGTGGACATCTTTGATATACTTCGCATTAGTTACCATGGACTGGAAGAGAAGTGCAAGATGATATTTTTAGATATTGCCTGTTTTTTCAATGGGAGGACAAAATTTGAAGTGACAGATATATTGAAAATATGCTATAACCGTTCAATATATGATGAAATCGAAGTTCTTATTGCAAAATCATTGCTAATTTCCACCGAATTAAATTCAAATTCAAGATATAATGCAGAACGTGAAGATCTGCAAGATAGGATCCAAAAGATGAGAAGCGATATTTTCTTGCCAACATCTATGTATCATAAATTGATTGATGAGGCTTCACGAGGATCCCTGCGTATGTTTTATTTTGTTGAAGAGATGGGAAGGAACATTGTTTATGATGAATCTCCAAGTGATCCTGGTAGTCGCAGCAGATTGTGGCATATAGAGGACATTGATCGTGTGTTGAAAAGAAATGAGGTAAATCTTTGAATATTTGCGCCAAAGTTAATTTGTTTGCTGCAAGATATCCACATTATGCTTGACATCTTATTATCTCTCATCTAAACGCATCTTCGTTTCATGTTTATTAGGGAACGGAATACATCCAGAGTATAGTAGTTTGGGATCTAAATCACGCATTTGAAGTAAAATGGCACCCAGAGTGCTTCTCAAAGATGCAGAATCTTAGGTTACTTGACTTAAGCAGTGTTCATCTTGCCCATAATCTCAATCATCTTCCACGTGCATTGAAATTTCTAAGATGGGATTTTTATGCTTTGAAACATCTACCATCAATTGATCTACTACATGATCTTGAAAGCCTTCAATTGCGTAGCAGCAACATCAGGAGACTCTGGAATGGAGCGCCGGTACGCTTTCCTTTCATGAAGATACTAAACTCTATGGACATATATCTTATCAGTAGGCTTTGAACTTACTAATAACACCTTCCTGTTTCTTGTATCTTATATGTTGGTCAGGAATTGAATAAGCTGAGAACCATTGATCTAAGCAATTCTTATTATCTAAGAGAAACTCCAGATTTCAGTGGAACTCCAAACCTTGAAAAGTTGTTTTTCAATGATTGCGAAAGCGTTATTCACATTCATGAATCTGTTGGACAACTGAAGAAACTAGTTGAGTTGAGTTTGAGACGTTGTACAAATCTTAAATCTCTTCCAACTCCCTTGGATATGGATAATCTGGAGGTTTTTATTCTGGATGGATGTTTCAACCTTGAGAAGCTCCCTGAATTTAGTAAAGGAATGAGAAGGCTATACTTCTTGGATGTGAGGAGCACTAAGATCACCGAGATTCCCTCATCCATAATTAATTTAGAAAATCTGAAATATTTGGACTTGAGTTGGTGCTGGGAACTTCAGTCAATACCGGAGCTTCCTCCAAACTCAATTATTCGTGCAGAAACGGGATCCACATTAGATCTACAACATCTCGTTGAATTGCGTGTCTCTAAGGTCGTCATCTCTCTCTTCCTCTATGTCATTTTCATCTATTAAAATGTTGCCATTTTTGCATTAAGATGAAATTAAGAGAATATCATCCATATACTCCTTACGTGATTTGATATTTCGTTTATTACAGCATCCCATTCACCTTGTTATTGACTCGAAAGTGAAGGAAGTAATCCCGCCGTGGTTTGAACAACAGGAACATCGTTATAGTAAGGATGCCTCGGGTGAAGTAGTAACCATAACAGCAGACGTAGCTAGTGATGACTTGGCAAATTCTGAGGGAATTGCTGTGTACATTATCTTCGAATGCTTATCTGATGAGGAAGCATGGACAGGTTTCGCTATAAATTGGAAGTTCGAAGATGACCCCCATAATACCAATGATAAGAAAAAAGGTGGTCGACCACAGCATCGAGCACGTGCAGATGCAAGCAGCCAAGTTGATTCAACAGCTAAGATTAAGTGTAGAGTTTACAGAGCAATGTTTCCTAGTGATAAGGAGAAGTGTCGAGTTTACAGAGGATTTTTTCCCATTGATAAGGAGAAGTGCCGACAGCATCCAAGTGGTGTGGGCAGCCAAGTCGATTTAACACTTTGTTTCCCAACAACGAATATTGGGAAAGTGATTATTCATTCTGAGGAAACAAGTTTTGGGGACTTTGAAATAGTGGATTGTGGGTGGCGGTTGGTGTGTAAGCGAGATTTGGATGCAAGTAGCGCAAGCATCAGGTATGTCACGCCTCAGTTTCTTTACTTAAAAGAGCAAAAGAGACAATTTTTAAACCAAACCACCTTCATCCCTTCTGGTTTAGGTGCTCTCAGGACTCATCAAATATGAGTTGTCTGATAAGGATGGTTTAGATTTAAAATTTTTAATTGATTATTTTAAATAAATTTTTTTTAAAAATGATAGTTAAGAGATTATATTTATTTTAGATTTTATACCCATTACAATAATTATTTTAAAAAATTAAAATAAAAAATAAATTAAATTTGGACCATCCAAATTAAATCTAGACTTTTGATAAGTACCCAAACTCATTCCGTTTAATAATGATATATGAATATAATTTAATGCCCCCACGTTAGACACAATGTATTCATTTAAACTGAGTCGCCTAGAAATATTAAGGAGCAAAAAAAATGTCTAATATATTTGTTGCGAATTCTGATTAAGCGACAGTTATGATGATAAGGAACAACAAAATTCATAGGCTGCAGTGCTATGGGAGGTGCATTGAGTTTTAATAAAATTTAGGTATAAGTCTTATATTTGTTCTGAATTAATGTTGCAATTTTTTCGTGTCATAAGTGAATCACTGATCGAGGTAATGGGTAAGATAACATAATTTAAAAAACGATAGCAAAACTCTGTCTCTGACTGAGAGTAGTGCAGAGTCACTAAAATTTTACAAAAAGAAGATAATAAATTAGAAGTCTTTAAAAAACTTTTCAAAAACTTTCCTCATATTTGGTCGAGGTTTTGATTTGGAGGACCTGAACTAAACATGAATCTCCTGATGGGAAAGAAAACAAGGAGAACTAAACATGAATCTTTTATAGTTCCAACACTTCTAAGTGTGTACTTTGAGTTGAGTAATTTTATTTTCAAAAAAATTATTTTATGAAGAAGGTTAACTTCTGTTCCGTCTTCCTCCTTATTCTTCCCCTTAGTTGTGGTACTCTCAATCCACATTTCCCCATTGATAGATACCATCATTTCAACTCATAGCCCATAAGATGACGCTTAAAGGGCTCACCATTATTGCGCCACATATACCCATAAGGAAGTCAACTATATTGACCCAAAAATGATTTGGAAGAGAAGTTTTGGGGGAAGTTTTTGTAAAATCTTGGGATAGTCAATCAACTACAATTTTAAAAACAAGACTATTATCAAATGTAGTTTAACCAAAATCAGGACAGCTTAGCATAAATTCCTCTTCTAACTTCTGAAGACTGACTGTTGATTGTTCTAACTTGTTAAAAGGTAAATTCAATTTTGGTGAGCATTGAAATCAAATATAGATTGTTTAGATTAGATTTGGATGGTCTCAATTTTTTTTTTATTTTCTTATATTTTTTTAAAAAATATTTTAAAGTTTTTATAATCTACAATAGAGATAATTTTTTAATTATTAGTTATAAACAAATTATTTAAAAATTATTAGTTGAAAATTTTAAATTTGATTCGTTGGAACTATACTTACATGATTTAAATCTCATTGCAATGATAAGCACTATTGTGCTCATTACTGTAATGAGCTCCAAAACCGACCCACTGAAATAGTGAAGGTGCCAAGTATGGTAGTTGTAAATTTCAACATTTCCGATGGTTAAATCACAATCATGAGACTGGATAGCTGAGGAAAATTATTATCAGAATATGCCAGAACATTATAGTGGCATTTATAAGACTTTTAATTCAGTCAAATTTCCTCTGTGAATTAGAAATTAGTTTGAGTGACTACGGAATTTTGGGTGTTTGGGTGATATGCTTAACCTTGCCAAAATCAATTTGGATAAATATCACGTTAAATGAAGTGTAATTTTAAAGGTACTAAACAAGAAAAATGTTCCTCCTTTCCAGTCCTTAATATATTTTTCTATATTCTTATTGCAGTTTTTATTTGACTTATCACAATTTTAATCGTTTCGTCTATGCAGGCATGAAGTAGAAATCGCTGAATGTTGGCAGCCAAAAAAACAAAAAGAAATTGTTGAAGACATTCCAGCGCAGGGGGAAAAAATTGCTGAAGACAGTGTTCCAGAGCAGTGGGAAGAAATTTCTGAGGACATTTCAGAACAATGGGAAGAAATTTCTGAGGGCAGTCCAGAGCAGTGGGGACAAATTGCTGAGGACATTCCAGAGCAGGGGGGAGAAATTGCTGAGGACAGTGCAAAATTGGTAGGAAAGAAATTAGATGATGAGATACCATCTAATTTTGAACATTTAGTTGGAGACACTCAATCAAAGGTCGATGAGATAATCTCCCTTTTAAAGATGGAATTGGATAATGATCCACGCTTCATAAGGATATCGGGCGAGAGTGGCATAGGAAAGACAACTCTTGCTCGACTTGTTTATGATGCAATCCAAAGCAAATTTGATGCTACTTGTTTTCTTGAAAATGTAAGGGAGGATTCAGAAAGGTTTGGCATAGTTTCCTTACAAAAGAAGCTTCTTTCAGAGCTTGGATTAGGAGAACGCGATGTAAGTGATTTTTCTGAAGGTGCAAAGATAATAAGAAAATTTTTATGCCACAAAAAGGTTCTTATTATTCTCGATGATGTCAGTGAAAAAAGCCAACTAGAAAATTTAGCAGGAAATAAGGAATGGTTTGGTGCAGGGAGTAAAATAGTAATAATTACTACGGGGAACATGTCGACATTGGATGAACAGCCTGAAGAGTGTCAAGTTGGAAGATTACGTCCTGATGAATCCCTTCAGCTCTTACATCAGGAAGCTTTTAAAAAGGATAAGCCCGAACAAGTTTATTTGGATTTGTCAGAAGAATTAGTTAAATATGTATGTGGACTTCCTTTGGTACTTAAAGTCTTGGGGTCATTTCTTTTCCAAAAAAAAGAATATGAATGGAGAAATGCATCAGAAAGGTTGAGGCAAAATTCACCCATTGATATCTCTAGTGCACTTCGCATAAGTTATGATGAATTAGAAGATGAAGAGTGCAAACGAATATTTTTAGATATTGCATGTTTTTTTAACAGGGAGGTCAAATTCAAGGTGATAAATATGTTGGAATCATTATGTGGTCCTCATTCAGTGAGTGGAATTAAAGTTCTAATTGAAAAATCTATGCTGAATTTCATTCATTCAAATTCAGATATAAGGCAAACTGCAAAAGAAGATCAGGATATGCTTGATAAGGTTCAAAAGATGAGAAGGGATATTTTTTTGCCTACACATTTGTATGATTGGTTGCTGCAAGAGGCTTCAAAAGAATATCTATATATGCATGATTTGCTTCAGACGATGGGAAGGGAGATCATTTATCAAGAATCTCCAAATGCTGGCAGACGTAGTCGATTGTGGTCACGAGATGATATTGATAATGTATTGAAAGAAAATGAGGTAAAGTGTTGGATTTTTAACTGTACTAAAGTTAGATTCTATATTATATTATTTGTTAGCTATCTTGGCATTCTCATCATTTTTAATCTTCATACGTGCATGTTCGTTAGGGAACCGGAAACGTTCAAAGTATAGTTTTGTATATACAACAACATTTTGACGCAGAGTGGCACCCTGATTGTTTTTCAAACATGCAAAATCTTACATTACTCGAGTTGAGTAAGGCGCATCTTACACGTAATCTCAATTCTCTTCCAAGTGCGTTGAAAATTATGAGATGGGATTATTATGATTTGGAATCTCTGCCACCGGTTGATCAATCACGTGATCTTGAAAGCCTTCAATTGCGCTGTAGCAAAATCACAAGACTCTGGGAGGGAGCACCGGTATGCTTTCTTTTCACGAAGATATTAAACTCCGCGCAGATATATCTCTTATCAGTAGACTTAACAGGTACTGATAACACCTCCCTGTTCTTGTATCTTATATGTGGGTCAGGAATTGCATAAGCTGAGGACCATTGATCTGAGCCATTCTGATGATCTAAGGGAAACTCCAGATTTCAGTGGAACTCCAAATCTTGAAGAGCTGCTGCTCAATGGATGCAGAAAGCTAGTCAAGGTTCATGAATCTGCTGGACAATTGAAGAATCTGGTTAAGTTGACTTTGAAAGAGTGTAGAAGACTTGAAATTCTTCCCACTAAATTGGAAACGGATAAGCTAGCGGAGTTTATACTAAATGGATGCTTAAAGCTTGAGAAACTCCCCGAGTTTAGTGAAAATATGGGAAGTCTATATTTCGTTGATGTGAAGGGCACTGATATCACCGAAATTCCTCAGTCCATAATTCACTTGACAATTCTCAAATACTTAGACTTGACATATTGCAGCAGACTGAAGTCAATGCCCGAGCTCCCTCCAAATGTAATTATATATGCAAGCAACTGTGACTTGTTGGAACCCACATCTGCTCTACGGCATCTCCATGCATCTTGTTCTCCAAAGGTTCGCATCTCTTTATCTAAATTTGTTTCTTATAATTTTTCTTTATTCTTGCCATTTTATATCATGATTTTGATGCAGCTTCCTAATGTTTTGCAGGGTCCCATTCACCTTTTCTATGACTTCCAACTGTGGACAAGAATCCCGACATGGTTTGAACGGTGGGAATATTGCTGGGGTAAGGATACCACAGGTGAATTTGTAACCATAACAGCAGACTTACCTTCCAACGTTGTTGCAGGTTCTAACAAAGAACGCTGGGGAATTGCTGTATGCGTTGTTTTTCAATTCTTATCTCAAGCATGGCTTGGTTTCTCCATAGACTGGAAGTTCAAAGACTGCCATCCCAAGAAAACCAAAATACATGGTACTCCACTATATTATGTGCATGATTGTCGAGTTTATGTGGGATTTTATCCTTTCGACGCAAATGATAACTACAGACAAGATCCAAGTCCAATAAAAGGTGGCCAACTTGATTTGACACTCGATTTTCCAAAAGCCAACATCATTAATGGTCTCCATGATTTGAAAATAATGGGATGTGGGTGGCGTCTGGCATGTAAGAAGGATTTTGATGAATGGAGTGAAAGTAGAGCGCCATCACCTCCAAGACTTGGCTTCTTTAATAGGTAATCAGTAAGTGCTTCTGACTTTGTTGAGTATACTTGTTAACTTTAATGATTTGTATGTTTTCTTCTCTTCCCAAGCTTTTCTATTTAACCCTCGACAACCATAATATTTTTCCTGAAATTGTTTTGTTCCTAAAACATTGAAATTATGTACTCCCTCTGTTCCTCTTTTTGAGAGACAAAGGGGAGCGTTTCTCAAGTCCCAAATACTCCCTCCATGCTTAAATATACTACGTTATTTTTTAGCCTCTTCGTCTTTTTATGATACGTAAATTAGAATTTACTTTTATGATGTTTTAAAAGACTTCTAAAATATATCCATATTTAATGATTTTTCTTCGACGGCCTTAATAAATTAATTTTTTCCCCAAAAATATCCCCATTTTCTTAGTGGCAGATTTAGAAGAATCTTGATTTTGTTAGGCTAATTAAGGTCCATTGGCTTGGCATGACTAGGATTTTTAGGTTGTCAATATTTTAATGCATTTATAGAATTTTTAAGTATTGGTCACCACCAGCCTAAATGATACAAGATCATAGCAAATTCTGTGCAAATGCCCACGGTCTGCATCACTATAGAAATAATTGGTAGAGATGATATTTACAAAAGATTTAACTTAATTGTTATAGTTATTATATCCATATATTTTCTGGGTATTTATGTTCACGTATTTTTAATTTTCAATATATCAATGATCATTTTTGAAAGTATGACCTAAACAGGCCTCTTCTCATCTTAGCTTTTTTTTGTCATTCAGCAACAGGGAAGAGAGGAGCAATAGTAGCATTACTGAAAAAAAGAGGAAAAGAAAATATCAATAAATTGGGTGAGTTCTCTCATTCAAACCTTGAAAACTATCCTACCCTCCTTGGAATTAACTAATTGTTGGTAATAACAAAAAATGAAACTATTTTGTTATTACCTAATCTGAATCACTAATTTGTGACTTAAAGGATGTTTGCTTTTCCCCCCCTTTTTTTTGCATTTTTATACGCGTGGAGTACTCTTTTCATTCGATAATATACGCACACATAAAATTTCAAATTTTTAAGTTGCTTGGAGATATTAATGAAGATATTATTTTTGGGATAAAACTGTTTAATGGTTTTTATTGTGAATTCTTCATATACAGTGAATACCTATTTGATTGTCATAATTAATATTGATAAATTCAAAATTTAGAAGCATTTTTCTTTTCGTTAACAAGTTTTTATAGAATTATTATCCTCTTCGGCTGTTACTGGTTTCTTTTACATGCATTTCTCTCTTTTTCAGGAACAGATGTGATCCGAGGCTTTTGTGATCTTCCTCTCCTCTCTCTGCACGTACGATTTTTATCAATGCTTGAAGAAACTTTAACTCTCAGTCTAGATGAGAACAAAATTAGAGAGGACAAAATAATAAGGAGGAAAACTCCACATGAAAAAAATAATAAATTTTTTTACTATTTTTGGAGGTTTTCTTTCATGGTATTCTCTCCCTTGCTTTCCTTCTATTTCCCTCTTATTCCAAACCAAGCCAAAAACTGAACTGATCGTGGATCGTTTTCTAAAGGGTTACATTTCTATCGGTACAGTCATTTGTTAAGCTCTTTTTTTTTTTTTTTCAGGGGGGGTTAAAGCAGTGAAGAAGAGGAAGGCATTATTGGTCTAAGATTACAAGTGGAATCAAATATGAGATGCTGCTGTATCCATGCAAACAGATTAAAACAAGGATGGACTTTCATAGTTTGCTGCACTGATAATGATTATCATTTGATGTTTTGACATATGATATCAGCTTAGGGCCTTTAAATCAGAATACTTTTGAGATTGATTATCATAATGAACTTTGACATTTGATATCAGGTTATGAACTTTGGTGGGTGCTTTAGAGTTTTTGTTTTTTTTGGGTGTATTGTTGAGACTTACTGTTGGCTCATCTGTTTTAAAGTTATTCTTATTTGGAATTTAGGTACTGTCATGATGTTAATCTATTTGGGACAAGTAGTTTGAGATTTTTTATGTGACAGATAGGATATTGTTGATCAATGGTTGAAAAAAATTGAAGTGACAAAAAATATAAGGAAGTCTAAATTTGGACCTGGACTAGACCACATAAACCATTAACCCAATCCAATTTGGTCCCGTCTGCCCAACCTGATGAGCAGGAGGTTATTCACCTGGCTGGACCGGTGTTCGGCCTAGGATGACCAGCTCGAATGCTAAAACAGAGTAACAGACCAAACCGCAGGTTAGTGCCTTGCTCGACAAGGTCTAGTCCATGCTTAGCTCTAGTTTGAAGGGAGAGAATTGGCGTAGAATGGTGAAGAAGAGAGAGGGGGGCGGGGGCAGTTGACGGTGACGATGAAAGAGACAGAGCATCTAAGAGTTGACACTTGAATGGACTCGCGTGAAAAGGTAATAGACATTTAAAACAATTGACGGAGACGGCACCTTTGCTCCATTTGAAAAAAGTCTTGTGTATTTTTACACACGGCATTTGATTACAGTGTCACCATGATTTTTCGGGGAAAAAAAAAATTAATGGGTATATTTACACTTTAACCTATATATTAGGACCTGGGAGCACAACACTCTGTTTAAAAGGTTTATAAATTACTTTGAATAATACCGGCAAATTTAAGAATGATAATCATAATCCTCATGCAGCTTTCCTTTAGCCTTGGTGGAAAGGGAAGGAAAAGTTGGAAAAGTATATGAAAGGGAAATTCGACAACGACCTAACAGAGCGGTAATTATTGATTTCCTTGTGGTTCGTATTATTACACAATCTGTGTCATGAGATTCTTCATGTGCTTCCTTCCCCCCCCCCCCCCCCCCCGGAATGAAAAGGAAATTTTATTCAATCAAATAAATACAAGGTAGCGTACAAATCTGGAACACAGAGGAGACTAGACTAGGTGCGAAGTCACAGAAGAATTCCTGACATGCAGAATATGCTCACTTAAGGCGAAAACATCATTGACCAGGCAATGGGGCTGGGTTGTTTCACTGCAGAAGACTAGGCGATTCCTAGCATTCCAGAGCTTCCAGCGGATTGCACCACAAGTGGTACACCACCTTAGGTTAGAAGTTCTGGTCTTTAAGTTCCTGTACAACCATTCACCGAAGGGTTGAGTCAAAAATTCAGATTGCAATGAGAGGGGGACAATAAGTTTCCAGCATTCTGGAGCCATTTTGCAGGAGCGTAAAACATTGAATGTATAGACTATGGCTCACACAGTGGAGTGACTAAAACTACTCCAGTACTTAGGATGTATCTGGCCAAAGATACAGAGTCCAAGTCTAGACTATAGCTCCCCTCCTTAAAAGAACTAGGAGGTGTCACTGTCCCACCTTCTCCCTCTACAACCTAGCCAAGTAAGTATTAAAGAACGGGACCCTAAAAAGCCAACCACTTTGCGCTAAGTGGAGACAAATCACGTGGTCACAGTTTGTCACATATATCAGTATCATAAACTCCTAAGTCCAACCGCCTATGCATGTCATGAATATGTAACAAATCCAGTAGATGCAAACATGCTTGAAAGAAAACAATTTACCATAAATTTTCACAAAACAACCAAAACACATTCATGCTTGCAAGAGAATTCAAATAACACATAAGATAATATTATTGTATCCTTTCACTTTTTCAGTCTTATTTATTTATACCAATTAAGTTGATAGAGTCAATACAAATTTAATTATGATGGATAAAGATTACACACACATGGAAAAACCTCAAGTTACCTTGTTTCTTCTAGCTCTCCAACAATTACAATAAAAATTCCAATCAAGAAGGCTCTTGAAGAGAGTCGACAAAGTCAACATAATGAAATATTAATTTAAAATTTGAGACAAAAAATTATATCCTATACTTATTTTAATGTTACATGAAAGTTACTCTAAAACTTCAAAGTTATTGTAGAGCCCACAACACACATTACTAATTTCTTCTAATTAACTTTTCATAAGTGCTATTAAAATTTTACAGTTCATAATAACTTATATGGAATCCTTATTGTATGTAAAGTTCAAGAATATATATATATAAATATAAATATATAGCCTTCATCCCACTAACCATTTGTAAATTACTGCATATATATATTACCGAATGTATTATAGATATATCCATGCCTATATATAAAGGGTGGAGTATCGAATGTCTTATATATATACACACATTACCGAAAGTCTTATATATACATACATGCCTATATACACACACACCCATTATTAGAAGGGATAAGTACCGAACAGGATGATGATATAAAGAGGTATATATATATTTATTCATATTTCCATCAAGCATATATATAAATATAATAAATATATATATACACATAGTCATATGAAGAGGTAGAAAAATCTGAAAAGAAAACGCATGATACAAGGAAGAGGATAAGGGAGGGAAAAAAATCAATGAAGAAAGAAACGTTAAGTTTTAAAACGGTAGTCAATGGTGTCAAACCATTCTCATCCTTTTTCCTATTAATGTATATGTGTGTATATTCATGAATAGTAGTTGTTAAATGTGAGAAAGGGGAGAGAGACGAAAAAGGGAAAGAAAAGTAGGTACACAACTTAATAATATATGTAGGTTTGGAGATGATGATGACAAGAAGGCCTACAGTGGATTGAGGGGAAAGGACGAAAGGAATGAGATAAAGAGGAATTATGAGAAACGAAATTAAAAAAAATGGAAAAGAAACAAGAATAGAAAAGTTTACCTTGAATCTATTTTGATTAGAGTAGAAGAAGTAGTAATACTTTCTAAAAGACCACAAGTCTACAGTAGTGGAAAAGCTAAAAAAGAAATTGAGTAGCGGCTAAAGGATGAAGAATGAGTGGGTAAGAAGTAGGGTTAAGTTATTATATTTTTAAAATTAATAAATCTTCATTTAATTGATTAATTATTGAATTACTTTATTTTATTGTTGTTATTATTATTATTATTGAAATCTCATTATAACCGAATTATATGAAATCTGCCAGAATCATTGAAAAGTTCTTTTTTTTAAGTTAAACTTAAATCTTTATATATATAATTATAAATATATATTTTATTAAAATTCATATAACAGATTCAAAATTTGAATTTCAATCTATTTCATATTATTATTATTATGATCATCATCCATCGCCATTTTTTTCTACTTTTATTTTTAAATACCTATACATTTATTTACAATTTTGTTTTATTTTATTTGACTCTCATTTAAATATCTCATTTTCTTGAATTTATTATTTTATATACATATATTTATCAAAGATTTAATCCAAACTTTCTATAAATAACTAGTTATAAACCCAAATAAAATTTTGGGATGTTATATTTCTCCCCTCCTAAATAAAATTTTATCCCCAAAATTTAGAGGTATCCAAGTCAAAACAACCAATTGGAAACAAAACAACACGTCAAACAAACACAACATGCATACAAACTAAACACATACCGAAACAAACAAGTAGGGATGTTCGTGTTTCATATTTTCTTCGGTTTCCCAAGTAGCATCCCCTGGGGTCATTCCCCTCCATACAACCTTAACAAGTCGCATGGTTTTGTTTCTTAATTGTTTATCCCTAGCATCTACGATTCTTTCTGGTTCCACATTGTGGGTCATATTTTCCCAAATCTCTATCTCCTCGGGTTCAATGATGTGGGAGGGGTCTGGATGATATTTTTTCAACTGTGATACATGAAATACATTATGAACATTGGCCAACTGAGGGGGCAAAGCAATCATGTAGACTACCGGCCCAACTCTTTCTAGAATTTCATAAGGACCCATGAATCTAGGAGTCAACTTCTTAGCTCTAATTGATCTTCCAATGCCTGTCATCGGTGTGACCCTTAAGAAAACATAGTCACCTGCCATGAACTCCAACAGTCGTCTCCGCCTATGGGCATAACTTTTCTGGCTACTCTGTGCATAGCTTCTGTTTAATTGACTCAATTTTCTGGGTGGTTTGATCTACTAAGTCAGTTCCCAATACGCTTCTCTCACTTAACTCTGTCCAGCAAAAGGGAGATCTACATTTCCTTCCATATAGTACTTCCATTACCAAAAAAACATTGAATAACCGACGGATTTACTGATGGAAGATGTTTCGTCACAAAAATCCATAAAAAATCCATGGCAAATTCCATCAGAAAAATCACCGATGAAATTTGCCACGGATTTCTGATGGAAATTATCGACTAAATGTTTCCTTGGCTAATTCCATCGGAAAATGAATTTACCAACGGAATTAGTCACGAAAATTTTCTGTTAGTAATTTTCGTCAGAAATCCATGGCAAATTCCATCGGAAATTCCGTCAAAAAATTTTCCGACAGAAATTTTGACGGATTTATGAAGGAAATTACCAACGGAATATTTTTCGTGGCTAATTCCGTCAGTAATATTATGTATTTGTTAATTTCTTTTCTCTAAGGTACTATGTAATTAGAAATTTTATAACTTTATTCTTATAAAATGCTGTAATTCAATTTTTTCATGAGATAAAAGACTATTTTATGTAAGAAAGAAACCAATAGAAATCTGGTAGGGACATAGTGAAATCGTGGAAGCATTGGTAAACTATACTAATTCAATCTATGCACTTGATTGACTTAAATATGAAAAAAAATTATTTCTTCACTTATTGGTTGATTATGACTATCTCAAATTAACTGAATATTATTTATCCTAATGTAGAAGAATAAATGAGAGAGACAAAATTGAATTTTACTAATATTTAAAGAATAGACATATGAAGAATATAATGAGTGCAAGGCAAATATTTATATAGAATGGTTTATAACAATATTGCTAACATATTAGTATTGAGTTTGACAGAACTGTAACGAACAACAAAATTCTCCTACTAAATATTTAACATGGTTATATTTTCAGGACTTGGATTTGACAATTTGATTAAAGGGAGAATTAGAGAGAAGGACCAATAGAGAGTGATATTTATAGAAAAGGATAATAAAAATTAAAATTATTTAAAGGGACTAAATATTCAAATATAAATTTAAAGATACTATACTGTTCTAATTCAAACCTCCTATATTTTCTTCTATATTTCCTCTTGCATTTTATTTTTAAAACTAATGCAAGTTAATAAATTTAACTACTTTAAACATAGTTTCTCTCTAAATTCACAACCTACATAAAATCAATTAAAAAAAATGCAAACATTGTTCAGTCATGTAAAAATTAAAATTTTCTTTTCTTTTATAAAAAATTAAAAAAATTTAAGATCATCACAGACTTTATTTAAAGATAAAAATTATATAATTTTATTAAAATTTAGATTATTATTAATTCATTATATAAGAAATATTTAAAAAATGCAAAGAAAATGATTTCTTCAAATTTCTTGACGTTACATGAATTTTTTTATTACATAATTAGGTGGCTTTTGTTAAATGATTTTGAGGAGGGGTCTTATAACACTATAATAAATTAACTGAATTCTTTAAAGGGAACATTAGGGATAAATCCCCCATTAAAAATTTAATTGGCAAATGGGACCTAGGATGATTGATTGCACAAGGGAAGATTAGTTGTACACAAAGGAAGATAATTGCACAAAGGGAAAATAGTTTGCACAAAACATTACTTATATGTGAGGAATTAGTTGCACATAAGAGAATTTCATTTGCACAACGAGAAATTGAGTTGTACATCGCATAAAGGCAGATCATTGCATAGAAAAGAAGATAATTGCACAAAAGGGAAGATAAGTTGTACATAAAAGAAGTTAAGTTGCACAAAATCCTTAGGTCCCATTTGCTAATTAAATTTTCAATGGGGTCCCCAATTTTCCCTTCTTTAAATTTCTTAACATTACATGATATTTTTATTGAAAATCTGATATAAATTTCTTATTAAATAAACAAATAAATTATACAATTTTTTTTGAATTGTTTAAAATCGTGCATATATTAAATTAAATAATAATCTAAATTTTGATAAAAGTATATAACTTTTATTTTCAATTAAAATCTATAACGGTTTTAAGAAGAAAATTTTAAATTGTTTATAAAAATATAAAACTTTAATTTTTTTATGACTCAAAAATATTTGCATAATTTTTAAATTGATTTATACGCAGGTTGCAAATTTTGAGAGAAATCAGGTTTAATTTAGTGAAATTTAGTAATTTGCATTAGTTTTAATAATAAAATATAGGAGGGTATATAGGAAAAAAATAGGAGGCTTGGGGATAGGGGCAATATGGTAGTTTTAAATTTATATTTGAATATTTGCTCCTTTTAGATAATTTTGATTTTTATGATCTTCTCTCATAAATATTACTGCTTATTGGTCCTTCTCTCTAATTCTCCCTTGAATGAAAAATTACTACTCCTATTAATTAAGCAAACTACTTAATGATTTGATTGTACATAACAGTAATTTACAGCGATCATCATTATAATGTGAGAGATGTATAAATCTTTTGTGTCATCTCTTGTAATTTATTCATGACAACATTATTCTCCTTTTTTAGTCCACATCTTCCTGTAATTTGATATGGATATTTTTAAACTGAAAAGTACCAAATTATTTCAAATTAGACTGAAAAAATTAAAATGATATTTAATAGATCATATAATAATATATTAATTTGAAAAGCTGATTCTTCTTTTTCTTTTTTTTAAAATTTAAATACAAATTAATATAAATCAAATTATATGAACAAAATATATCAACATTAATATCAAGTTGTCTAGATATTGATTAAAAAAAAGCCACCAAACACTATAATATTATTCTAAATATAATATAATTATTCTTGTATGTGAAAAATGGTAAGACTTAAATTTAAACTTATCATTTATAAAAGCAAATTTTGACATATGATTTTTTTTTTTGTGAAAAATCGTTTCCCTCCAAAAATTTTGACCTTCCCTCCATAGAGCCCTAATCCCTCTCCTCTCTGACTTCTCACACGCAAGCCGCCGCCCCCAGCTCTGCCTTCTCATATTTTGCAAGAAAGCTTCCTCTTCTTCTAGTCACCAGTGGCCTCGCATCACTCCTCCTCTACCCCGACGATCTTGTCTCTCACTTCACCTCTAAATCATCGTTTCTCCATCCTTCGTCTACCTCTGTTGCTTTCATCGGGCACCGTCTCTCCATCGTTAGTTAGGAAGAGCTTTCTTCTCCAGCTTCACACACAGCTACCGCATGTCCTCTACGTCTTCGCTTCACCATCGTCATCTCCATTGTAGCGTGTGTCTTATTGAATGTTAGTCATATTAAATCATTTGGATTGTGCTGACTGTCGAAAGCTAACTAGTGTTAGGCAAAAATCTATTGCTTCTGACTTGTTGGAAGTTATAGAACTTATACACATACTATTCTCCAATCTACTTTGCTTTGTTGCTGAACTTGGGTTACATTTGCATATTGTTCAATTTAATAGAATTGGTAAATGTCATCATTTGCTATAGAAATTAGTGAATTATGGTATCCTTTCTTATTCTTAGTGCAATTTTATTTTTGAAAATTGGTTTTTCTAAATATCACTCGCATTTCTTTAGATTTAATTTGTTCTGGATTTATTTTTTTAAAGTTGGGATTAAGTTGAAAAGGATCTTACCTTAAATATAAAAATAAAAAAAAAAGCATATGAGGCCTTCATATTTTGCTGCACCAATTTGCTAGAAGAAAAATTTATAGTTTTAATTTGAACATGTCCTGAAATTTGTTATTAAATCAATATGTGTTCTGGGATAACCTTCCACATGTGTCATGGCATTAGATTCATTTTTCCCCCCCTTTCCATCATACAAAAGTGGGATATTTTTATTTCTTTTTTATTGATTATGGTTTTGCTTAACATAACCACTAAATTTTTATTATGTCATGATGAATTATTTCTTCTCTTAGTGATGCATGATTGTGAATTCTTATTTAAATAAAACGTACACTTATCTCATATACTCCTATTACCTTTTGTTTTATAGGATGAGTTCAAAAGGAGAAAGGCAGAATTAAGTTCTGAAAGAGGCTCTCCAAGTGTGTAATCTAATTAGGAAGAATTTAATATATGGTTAGAGCTTATAGGTGGCAAGAACAAGAAGGACCGCATCTATGGATTTGGATTTGAGGTAGATGATGATATTTGTGCTCCTCAAGTATCTTCTCCTTCCATTAACAACACTAGCATCAATCCTAATGTTGAAACTGAATTGCACATGAGGATAACAGAGCTTACACAGGAGAATCAACAAATTAAACAAGAGCATGAAGAGATGAAACAAAATTACAACAAAATCATGTCTGCATTGGAGGGAATGGGAATTAGATTATCTAAGCCATCTAGTAGCAATATAAATTTAGAAAATGACAGTTGAGGGTCATTATTATTAGACAGTTTGGGTTATTATTTCTGCCTCTTAGTTGTTGACATTTGACATTTCATGTATCCAGGATCTGTGAAAGACCATATATTTTTAATTACAATATGCTTGATTTTTAACAAATTCAATTGCCTTTTACTTCCTCTTGACAAACTAAACAATTAATCAAAATAAAATTGTATAATATAAGAAAACCAATAAAAAAACAGAATTACTGGTGCAATGTGGGAAATTAGCCACGAAATATTCTGTGGCTGATTAGCCACGGATTTTCCCACAGAATTTTTTATGGCTGATCTGCCATGGAATATTTCGTGGCAAATTCCGTGGTTGATCTGCCACAGAATATTCGGTCACAAATTCCGTCAAAAAACTACTGACGGAAATTATCCCTCACAAATCCGTCAGTACTTACTGATGAAATTTCCATCAAAAGTCCATCAGAAATTACTGACAGAATTTCAGATTCCGTCACAAATGAAAT